GAAAATTCAGCCGTTAGCCTAATTGGTTTACCCCTGAATGTAATCTGCCTCCTTTCTCTCGTAGCTTTTAATATTCTCTCCTTGTTCTGTATGTTGGATATCTTCATAATTATGTGTCTTGGAGTTGGTCTATTACAAAATAAACATATTATTTTGTATGTTTTGGGTCCTGTAGGCTTCCAGGATTTGGCAATCCATTCCATCTTTCATATCTGGGAAGTTTTCTAAGATTATTTCATTCAATAGATTGTTCATTCCTTTGGTTTGAACCTCTACACCTTCTTCTATCCCAATGACTCTCAAGTTTGGTTTTTTTATGACATCCCATATCTCTTGGATGGATTGCTCGTGATTTCTTAGGATCCTTTCTGTGTTGATTATATTCTTTTCAAGATGATAAACTTTGTCTTCATTATCTGATGTTCTGACTTCTATTTGATCTAGTCTATTTGTAATATTCTCGTTTGAGTTTTTAATTTGGTTTATGGTTTCCTGCATTTCTAGGATTACTGTTTAATTTTTTTTTAAAATCTCTATCTCCTCATAGAGCTCATTCTTTGCCATTTGAATTTGCTTATGTAATTCATTTTAAAAGTATACTTTCATTGTTTGGACTTGCTGTCCAAAGTCTTCTCTAAGATTCCATTCCATGGGAGTTAGGTATGCCTTGAGTTCTTTCTCTGTCCATTTTTCTGATGCCTCTAGGTTCTCCTGTGAATTTAAGTTGTCCTGCATTGTTTGTAATCCTTTTTTCCCTTGTTTTTTCATGGTGCTCACGTTAATTTCCAACTCTGTTTGACTGATGTTTCTGTTTTCTTCTTTAAATTTGTTTTGGTTTTTATAGTTCCAATATCTCTCCTTTGTGTTGGGAGACAATGTTTAGAGATGCTGGATTTAATTTTGATTTAAGGTAAATTCATTAGTTTCATTAAGGCCTAAAGATTTTGATGGCATATATAGAATTGAGGTTTGAACTTAAGATTTTATGTTGAGGTTGGGCGATTTGATGGTATGGAGGTTAGTATATGTTAGCTTCTTTGGGGGGTTGCTCTAATGCAGGCGGATATTAACAAGAGAATAGACAGGAGTACTTGGGGGTAGTTAAGGGCTTAGGTGGACTATAGACCAATTCGTAGTATTCATCTATTTGCATTTAGTAAGTTGTACATAATCTGGGTGTTCATGCTTAAGAGGAAAGATGGGGAAAAGGTAATGAAGCAAACCAAGAAAGAGAGTGGGAGAGAGGAAAGAAAGAGAAAAGAATAGAAAAGAAAAAGAAATGATAACAAAAAAATAATAATAAAATGCAGTAAAATAAAAATTACAATTAAATAATAATATAAATATAAAAAAGAAAAAAAATTAAAATTAAAAAATTAAAAAAAATTAAAAAATTAAAAAAAAAAGGGGGCACTGTTAGGCTTCTATTTTCTTCGCTTCCAGTAGGTGGTGCTGTGCCTTCTGGGCCAAGATTTTGCCCTCCGGCTGTAGGAAACAATCCGTGTGAGGTCGCTCGCTCCTCCCCACCCTGGTGTCTCTCAAAACCTGTTAGCTTAGGTTTATTCCTGGTCTCTAGTCCCCTGGCTTCTCCTGCCAGCCAGGCCTTTCCCAGTGTGATACCTCTTGGCAGTTCAAGCTACACTCTGGGCCTGCAGTTTCCTGGATGTGGAGTGCGGCTTTTGGGAAGCGGCACCTTATTGTTTGGATTCCCTCCACTAGCCCCTCCTCCGCGAGCTGGCGAGACAGGTTTCGTTTTTGCTGCTGGTGGGAGGAGGGAGTTGGAGGTCAGGTGCCTTTACCTTTCCCCACGCCTCTATTCACGCTCACCCTGTTAATCACGCCCCCGGAAAGCCAGGGAGAGATTTTATGCGATTTCCCCGCTGTATGGGAGATGGTCTAAATGACACACACCTGTTCTTTCGCTGAATGGGCTGCAATCTGTCAGAAACTGGCGATGGTGACATCATCTCTCCAAGATGGTTGCTGCTGGCTTCCTCGGTGGGCTGTCCGGTGTGGAGGACAGAACTGGACCGCTTCCTTCTCCCGTCTCAAACCCAGAACTCAGCCCAGAGCACAGTGAGGGCACAGCTGGCAGGAGCCCACAGAATCTGCAGCACTGTTTCTCTGCGTTGCTAGCATGCTGTTTCCTGGTGCACCACAGTCTCTAGCAGTGGGGCTGGCTGCCGAGCAAGCAGCTTGAATCTCCGGGCGGACAGTTCACTCGCGGTTGAGCCCCAGTAACCGATCCTCGGGCGATGGAAATCCTTCCTCTAGGTTTCGGTGCACCCCAATTTTGCTGGAAATTCCTAACAAGATAGCTTTTGGCCGTTCTAACTCATTATTCACCCGCGCAGTGACGCGGTACACGGGGGTGACGCACTCCATTCACCGCCATTTTCCCTGAGATTGTTCTCGAACTTGCAATCCTCCTGCCTCAGGCTCCCTAGTTGCTGGGATTACTGGTGTGCACCATCATGCCTGGCTTTATTCCTTTTTTTTTAGTAAACCACTGGTGACCCATCTCCCTTACAACCAAAATTCAAATTCTTGTGTTTTAATCAGTTTCAGCTGCTATAAAAATTATACCATCAACTGGTGGCTTAGATCACAAATCTTTAGCTTTTTCACTTCTAGAGGCTGGAAGTCCAAGATCAAGGTGCAGGCAGATCTGGTGTCAAGTGAGGACCCATTTCCTGCTTGGCAGATGGCTATCTCTTCATTATATCCTCACGTAGTATAGAGGAGAAAGCAAGGAGAGGTGGAGCAGGCTCTTGTGTCCCTTGTAATTTGAACACTAATCCCGTTCCCCAGTCACTCTCATAGCTCAATCTCCTGCCCAAAGACCCTGCCTCCTAACGTCATCACACTGGGGGTTAGAATTTTGACATATGGATTTAAGGGGGGATGCAAGCATTCCACCCACAACACCTTGTAGTCAGCTGCACTGTCGGCCAGTGAATGTCCCAACCCCACTCTACCTTTCCTCTGACTTTGTGTCCTGTTACTGTCCATTTTAACCACTGTGCTTCTCAAAATGACCTTGCTATTCCCTGCACTTGCCACAGGATCTTTTCCCCTTTTGTCTTCTCAGTTTCCAGCACCCTATTTTAAACATCTTAAATCCCTAGCTCCACCAATTCTTTCAGTCCTTTTCCATCCTCCCTGATTGAGCTTATCTCCACAGGCATAACCAACTTGTTAATTAGTGGTCTCCCCTCACAAGGACGTGAATTCCATGAAGGCAGGGGTTTTTGTTGTGTGCACATCTGTATTCCCAGGGCCCCAAACAGGGGAATGCTGACTGAATCAGGCCTTTTCCTCCACAGGGACTCACATCCTCCCCCAGGCTCATGGGACAGTTCCCAGACAGGTTTTGAAACTGCCAAGTTTTATTTTGGGCTGTTCTTGTTCCTCCTATGGTCTTTTCAACAGCTCCTCCCTTACCATGATGATCTCTTGGAACATGGTGTCATGGAATTTGATAAAACATCAATGAACTTGGCATCAGTGGGCTTTGATTTATTTTTATCAGAAATAACCTCAGGAAAACATGCTATCTTTTAGATTTGTTGTTATCGTATAACACATACTAGTGCTTTGGTATTTCTGCAGTTACCAGGACAGAAATGAGAAAAGAAGAGGTCATTGATTTAATCATGATTTACATAATACATTTTATGAGCCCACATAAATTATGCATTGTTGACCTTTAAATTAACTTAGGTTTAATGAGATGGTTTCATTATGTTTAAAGACATCATGTAATTATTTTCTTACATTCTTTATTATTTTCTAAGCTTATTTATGCTTTGTCCACTGTCAAGGCCCCTGCGTATTGCCTTATTATTGAATTTCTTTTTAGCCATTTTCTGGTTTGAGATTTGCAGAAGTCTCATCTTACTGAGGCATGGCATTACTAAATTGTTTAATTTCCCAGGATACACTACAGTGACTTTCACTTTAATGGAGACCTATTTCCAAAAGAGTTAAACTTGGTGATTTGGAATGAGACTCTTTTCAATTGTTTGCAACAGGAATCTCGATCATCCTAGGTACAAATAGAATGATGAATGTGGAGCAAGCTGAGGTCCAGCCTTGGGCTCTCTGGTGCTGGATCATGAAAATGCAGACTAATTTATGATTGGAAGGTTGAGTTTCATGAGACCCAGGTTCCCCAGAGGATCCTAGCAAGTCTGAAGGGAACAGGGAGATTGAATAGGCAGGACTCTGGCCATATCACATTCATTACATAAGCTCCTCTTTAAAAAAATTATTTAGATATTTAGGGCATTGCTAAGTTTTCTTGATAAAATAGTCATCTTGGTGCTTCAAAAACATCAGTTTAAAAGGTTTGGTACTAGGGGTGCTGGGGTTGTAGCTTAGTGGTAGAGTGCTTGCCTAGCAGGTGTGAGGCACTAGGTTCAATCTTCAGTATCACATTAAAAAAAAAATATGGTACTAAACCTTGCATGGTGGCACACGCCTATAATCCCAGAGACTTGGGAGGCTAACGTATGAGGATCTTAGTTCAAGGCAGGCTCAGGAACTTAATGAGATCCTATCTCAAAATAAAATCCCCAAGAGACCAAAACAACAACAACAACAAAATCCCCCAAGCCAAAATACAAACCAAAACCAAAACCAACAAACAAAAGCAAAAATAACCTCCCCCCCGTCAAGAAAACAAAAACAACAACAACAACAAATTTGGTACTAGAGTATGAGCATATGAAACACAACAACTGTAAACATTCATTTGTATCATTGGATTTTAGGTTTTGAGTAGTATTCTTCATATAAAATATATGAATTCCTAGGCTAGCCTCAAATTTCTGTTTAACCTATAGTGGGATTATAGATGGCACTTCATTGAAAGCAATCTCTGTTTTTGTCTAGTAAAGCATGCAGTATCTGTCATACTGAAAGCTGTTGAAGGTTTGACTTTCCTTCTTTAACCTCAGGAAGCACGATATTTTGATGGAGGAGCTGATTTCCCCATCAGAGTGACTAAGAGCCGTGAGAAAGAAGCATCCACAGGACCCCAGGATCCTTGGAACTGAGTGAAGAAGGAATTTGGTGGGACATATCCATAATGGGGGTCTCTGCCTCATGACATCTGGGCTTCAGCCAGGAAGTCTCAAAAGCTGAGGAAAACTTGATTGCTGGGGTCTGGAAACATCTGGAAGCATCATTACTTGCACGTTTGGTGGGTGATTCTGGGTGATGGCTGGGACGCTTTGTTGGTCATTCCATGTGGTCTCCTGATAGGCTTAGGCTTCCTGAAAGGCTGGCAGCTGGGTTCCACAAGTTAGGAAGTAGAAGCTGTCTCAAGACTTGGACACAGTCACAGTGTCATTTCTGCTGTTTTCTATTGGTTAAGGACTAAAAGAGCCCAGATTCAACATTGACCCACCTTATTTATTTATTTATTTGTTTTTTTAAAAAAGTTATACATGACAGCAGAATCAATTTTGATGTAATTATACATGGAGGAATATATCTTACTCTAGTTAGGCTCCCATTTTTTTATGGATGTACATTTTGGTGGGATTTACTGTGTTGTTTTCATATATGAACATGGTTGACCCATCTTTTATTTAGAGGCATGGTAAAGAATTTGGGGGTTCTGTTTTAAAACACCCACCATTTCCTAGATGACAGATGACCGTGTTGCTCAGCGATTAGGAGATTAGGGTGTAGATTTAAGATTACCTGGATTCATGTCTCACTTCCGTTCTTGCAGGCTGTGCAACCTTAGGCAAGTTTACATACTAGAAACTACTGCTCCTCACCAGTAGCCGTTTCTGTTCTCTGCTTCTTCCTGGGAATACTGATGGACTATTTCTCAACTCCTTGCATCTAGATGGGACCCAGAGACTGGTTTTAGATGGTGGGCTCTGAGCAGAAGTGCCACATGTCTCCTCTGGTGGAAGTGGGTAAAAACAATGGATTTTCTTACTCTTTCTTCCCTTACCTGTAGCTGGGAGCACCAGGCCAGGTGGCAGACACAGGTGTGGGAGGTGGCAGACTCACAATATGGAAAGAATCTGTTTCCTTGAATGCCATAGTAGGTTCTTTCTTTCATGCCACTGCCAACAAGAATATGAGGGAGAGGTCAATCTTTGCAATGCTAAGCCATGAAGTTTGGGGGCTGTTACAGCAGCTCCCCTGTTCTTCATTTTTTTTGGTACTGGGGGTTGAACCCAGGAGCGATTAACCACTGAGCCACATCCCCAGTCCCTTTAAAAAATATTTTTATTTAGAGACAGGGTCTCCTTGAGTTTTTAGTGCTTCACTAACTTGCTGAGGCTGGTTTTGAACTTGTGATCCTCCTGCCTCAGGCTCCCGAAATGCTGGGATTATAGGTATGTGCCACTGTGCCAGGCTCTCAACTATCCTATTCTAATACCTTATCTCAATCTCTCTGAAACTGTTTCCTTATCTGTAGAGTTATCAGCTAAAACTATCTTTGGGTGCTCTGCAAGGTAAGTGAAATAATTGGACACATGGTGCCTGGTGTATAGCCCGTGCCCCATGAATGTGAGCTGTTGGAATGAGATTATTGGTAAGCGAATGTGCATGCCAGCTAGACAAGGAGCAGCATTGTATAAGTGATAGCCCACTCCATTCTCCTCACCATCATCAGGGTGGCACCTGCCATGCGTTGAGCACCTACTTGGGACAGGCTCTCTCCTAGGGAGGCTTCCCTTGGTCCATTCACTTCCCTGAGGCAGGTGCTGCTAACCTTGATGAGGAGCTGGGGGCTGGAGCCCAGCACTGCTGTTGAGGCCATGGGAGGTCACACAGCCAGCAACACAGACATGCGAGAAAATTTTATGCGTTAGTTTTATCCAAGATAAAAATCTCTCTCCAGCCCCCAAGCCAGACCCTTTACTACAGGGATGACATCACATGCATTTCTGGAAATTTGACACTTCCCTAAGGAAGAAAAAATGAGGCCCCATCTGCTTTCCTTCTCCATGGGGAAGCACTCTTTTTTCCTGTTTTGAGATGTTCTCTACACCATGTTGTAAGGATCTACTTTATAAATTAATCCTGTGGCTTACAGCTTGGCCCCAGATGTGGAAGGCCAGGCTTCCTTCCCTATCCTGGGGTCCTGTGTTTCTCTCTTGTGTTTGGAGGCTGCAGAGGCTTCATGGAGTCAGCTAGTGGAAAAACTGAGAAGGATCCCAAGAACAGAGCTCAAGTCCCAATCCTGCAGTCTCCCTTTAGCTCAAGGCCTCCTGTGGGGACAGCAGAAAATTAAAAGTGCTCTCAAAGACATGATAGCCCGCGGAGGGATTAGAACTCCAAAGTGGCTTTTCCTCCTTTCCCTGTGGAACTTGCCAGAAGCACCATCCATTTCTTCATTTCTTTGGGGAGCAGAGGAAGATTTGTTTAGGATGTCACAGGAATTAGCAAGCTTTCAACTTCTGAGGTGTTTGTACTTAAATTGCAGATACATGTTAAGTATCCCTAAAATCTAGAATCCAAAATGCTTCAAAATCTGAAACATTCTGAGCATTCTGATATGACAAATGGAGAATTCCACACCTAACCACAAGTGAACGGTCTCAGTCAAAACACAGGTGTATGAAAAATATTGCATAAAACTACGTTAGGCTGTGTGTACAATGTGTATATGAAACATAAGTGAATTTTGCATTTAGACTTGGGTCCCATCCCCAAGATATCTCATTATGTATTTGCACGTGTTCCAAAAATAATAATAAATAATAATAAAAAAAAGAAATTTGAAACACTTCAGGTCCTGAGCATTTTGGATAAGGGATACTCACTCAGGCTCTTCTAGATTTACTAGATTAACCAGTTTTCCTAGATTAAACAATAGTTGGTTTCTCTTCACAATTACATTTTTTTGTTTCCTTCTTCTATCTTTTGAGATATCAGTTTAGATTTTAGCAATTAAACCCACCTCCCTTTGTCCAGTAGATCTGTATGTATTGATCTGGTTATTAGCACAGAGGGAATGTCTTTGGGTTGCCTTTGCTTTTATAGACATTTGTACTTGAAAACACTTGCAGTGTGTTTTCTAACTCACGACAACAGGGTTTCTATAAGCCAGAATTTACAATATGTTTTACTTCTACTGCCTGGCATTCATTTCTAAACACAAAAATTTACTTTTCTTTAACAGGTTGTTTCTTTCTCCAGGGCAATGTATAAGGCAGGATGGATAAAACCAACTCTCATACTGAAGATGATTTTTGAAATATCCATGAATATTTTCGGGAAACTAAACCTCGCTCACTCAGTGCTGGAACAATGAGTAAACTTTGTTTTCTCCTACAGGAGAAAATATTTTCTGCAACAAAACATTATGTTTAAAAAAATCTGTAATGTGATTAGAGACGAAAATATCCATTTTTCTTTGTGGTTGTTTAACAAACTGCCACGAGATGGCGCCAGAGAGCTGGCGAGGAGATGGCTTGACTCAGCTAAGAAAGACCCTTTAAAAGAGTGTCCTGGACATACCTCAATATTGTAAAAGCAATCTATGCTAAGCCTCAGGCTAGCATCATTCTGAATGGAGAAAAATTGAAGACATTCCCTCTAAAATCTGGAACAAGACAGGGATGCCCTCTCTCTCCACTTCTGTTCAACATAGTTCTCGAAACACTGGCCAGAGCAATTAGACAGACGAAAGAAATTAAAGGCATCAAAATAGGAAAAGAAGAACTTAAATTATCACTATTTGCAGATGACATGATTCTATACCTAGCAGACCCAAAAGGGTCTACAAAGAAACTATTAGAGCTAATAAATGAATTCAGCAAAGTGGCAGGATATAAAATCAACACGCATAAATCAAAGGCATTCCTGTATATCAGCGACAAATCCTCTGAAATGGAAATGAGGACAACCACTCCATTCACAATATCTTCAAAAAAAATAAAATACTTGGGAATCAACCTAACAAAAGAGGTGAAAGACTTATACAATGAAAACTACAGAACCCTAAAGAGAGAAATAGAAGAAGATCTTAGAAGATGGAAAAATATACCCTGTTCATGGATAGGCAGAACTAACATCATCAAAATGGCGATATTACCAAAAGTTCTCTACAGGTTTAATGCAATGCCAATCAAAATCCCAACGGCATTTCTTGTAGAAATAGAGAAAGCAATCATGAAATTCATATGGAAAAACAAAAGACCCAGAATAGCAAAAACAATGCTAAGCAGGAAGGGTGAATCAGGCGGTATAGCAATACCAGACTTCAAAGTATACTACAGAGCAATAGTAACAAAAACAGCATGGTACTGGTACCAAAACAGGCGGGTGGACCAATGGTACAGAATAGAGGACACAGAAACCAATCCACAAAACTACAACTACCTTATATTTGATAAAGGGGCTAAAAGCATGCAATGGAGGAAGGATAGCATCTTCAACAAATGGTGCTGGGAAAACTGGAAATCCATATGCAACAAAATGAAACTGAATCCCTTTCTCTCGCCATGCACAAAAGTGAATTCAAAATGGATCAAGGAGCTTGATATCAAATCAGAGACACGCCGTCTGATAGAAGAAAAAGTTGGCTACGATCTACATACTGTGGGGTCGGGCTCCAAATTCCTCAGTAGGACACCCATAGCACAAAAGTTAATAACTAGAATCAACAAATGGGACTTACTCAAACTAAAAAGTTTTTTCTCAGCAAAAGATACAATAAGAGAGGTAAATAGAGAGCCTACATCCTGGGAACAAATCTTTACTCCTCACACTTCAGATAGAGCCCTAATATCCAGAGTATACAAAGAACTCAAAAAATTAGACAATAAGAGAACAAACAACCCAATCAACAAATGGGCCAAGGACCTGAACAGACACTTCTCAGAGGAGGACATACAATCAATCAACAAGTACATGAAAAAATGCTCACCATCTCTAGCAGTCAGAGAAATGCAAATCAAAACCACCCTAAGATACCATCTCACTCCAGTTAGATTGGCAGCCATTATGAAGTCAAACAACAACAAGTGCTGGCGAGGATGTGGGGAAAAGGGTACACTTGTACATTGCTGGTGGGACTGCAAATTGGTGCAGCCAATTTGGAAAGCAGTATGGAGATTTCTTGGAAAGCTGGGAATGGAGCCACCATTTGACCCAGCTATTCCCCTTCTCGGTCTATTCCCTAAAGACCTAAAAAGAGCATGCTACAGGGACACTGCTACATCTATGTTCATAGCAGCACAATTCACAATAGCTAGACTGTGGAACCAACCTAGATGCCCTTCAATGGATGAATGGATAAAAAAAATGTGGCATTTATACACAATGGAGTATTACTCTGCATTAAAAAATGACAAAATCATAGAATTTACAGGGAAATGGATGGCATTAGAGCAGATTATGCTAAGTGAAGCTAGCCAATCCCTAAAAAACAAATGCCAAATGTCTTCTTTGATATAAGGAGAGTAACTAAGAACAGAGTAGGGTCGAAGAGCAGGAGAAGAAGATTAACATTAAACAGGGATGAGAGGTGGGAGGGAAAGGGAGAGAGAAGGGAAAATGCATGGGAATGGAAGGAGACCCTCAGAGTTATACAAAAGTACATACAAGAGGAAGTGAGGGGAAGGGGAAAAATAATATAAGGGGGACAAACGAATGTCAGTAGAGGGAGCAGAGAGAGAAGAGGGGAGGGGAGGGGAGGGGAGGGGAGGGGGGATAGTAGAGGATAGGAAAGGCAGCAGAATACAACAGACACTAGTATGGCAATATGTAAATCAATGGATGTGTAACTGATGTGATTCTGCAATCTGTATATGGGGTAAAAATGGGAGCTCATAACCCACTTGAATCAAATTGTGAAATATGATATATCAAGAACTATGTAATGTTTTGAACAGCCAACAATAAAAAATTTAAAAATAAATAAATAAATAAATAAAATTGCAAAAAAAAAAACAAAAAAAAAAAAAAAAAAAAAAATAAAAGAGTGTCCTGGGGGAACCGTGGAGGGTTCCTGAGAGAGGGTGTCCTTGGTGCTGCCAGGTAGGAGGAGCCAGCAGCCTCTCTCTGCTCATCCTTCCAGACTCAGCTGTTTCCACGAAAATGTTGCAGAAGCTTCCCACAAACTTTGCCTTCCAGGACCATATTGAATACACAGGAGGTGGCTTTGAGGTTGGCCTTGAGCAGTAGATGGAGGAGGAAGAAGAAAAGGGTAGAAAAGGAGCTGCTTTCTAAGACTGCTGCAGAAGGACTACCTGGCCAGCAGTACCTCTGAGGAATAGACCAAGCACGTGGTGAAGGAGTCTTTGCTTTCAGGTGGCCATGCCAAAGATGGGGAGGACAGGGGATGCCCAGAGGGAAGGTGGAGTGGAAGTAGAAGCTAAGCAATTGTTCTGGGAACTCTTATCATCCCCAGGAATCTACCTGGAGTTCACTTATCCTCTCTGGGCCCTAAGTTCTTCAACCAAAAAATGGAGAATTTGGTTTTTAAAAAACTGTGGTGGAGGAGCTGGGGATATAGCTCAGTTGATAGAGTGCTTGCCTTGCATGCACAAGGCCCTGAGTTCGATCCCCAGCACCCCCTCAAAAAAAATCATGGTGGAAATCAGACATTATTACCCTATGTACGTATATGATTATATGACTTGTGTAACTCTACTTCATGTATAAGCGGAAGAATGAGAAGTTATACTCCATTTATGTTCGATGTGTCAAAATGCATGCTACTGTCATGTACAACTAATTAGAATAAAAAAATTATGGTGGAGATACACACACACACACACATACACACCAATCAATCACAAACTCTACCAGTGCAACCATTTTTAGTGTACCGTTCAGTGGTTTTGAGCACACGTACAATGTGCAACTGTCTCCATCATCTATCTCAGAACTCTATCTTGCAAAGCAGAGATTTGTCCCTGTTAAACACCACTCCCGTTTTCCTCCCCCCCATCCCCTGGCAACCACTGTTCTATTTTCTGTCTCTATAAATTTGACTAGTCAACCTGACAACTTGCGGTCCCTCCTATGAGTGGAATCACACAGTATCAATCTGTTGTCCAGCTGTCACCACCATCTCCCTTTAGAGCTTAGACATCTCCCCAAACTGGAACCCATTAGGATCACTTAGGAACAGACAGATGGCGACACCTGGGTGGCACTGGAGCTCTGATCTGCTCAGCACACCTTCCTCTGCCAGAGGCTCCTCCCAGGCAGGCAGAGTCACTGACTCGGGAGTAGGAGCTGGCGGGCTTCACAGAGACAAGTGCTGTCAGTACAGGGAAGGATGCTTGGAGGAAATGGGACGCCTCAGACTTCGCGGCTTGTTTTCCCCCTTTGCAATTTGAACAGAGCAAGAAGTATTTTTGAACTAGAATTCAAGGAGTTTACCGAGGAGTCAGGAAGCTTCAGAGCAGAGAAAGCCCAGGGCTGGCCACCAGTCCCTTTTTCTTCCAAGGAGCCAGAAACCTTTTAGGATGATTGGGTTTTGGATTCGGGCCAGGTGGTTTCTGTTTACAGTGCAGGAACAATTGTAAAGGAAGAGATCCTATCTCCACTGGTCAATTAGAGAGCAGCAGAAACAGTCCTGCTCATTGAAGGCTTGAGCTGGCAGCCAGGCTCCTGGGGCAGGGAGCAGAGAGGAAAGGGGAGGGCTGGCCAGGAGGAATGGTAGAGCCAGGACCCAGCTGGGGAGCTTTGCAGGGACTGGGAACTGCCTGAGGTGGTGACGCTACAAAGAGATTCTTCCTGGGAGAAGAGAGTTGTAGCAGGAGGTCCCTAAGCAGTTTGGAGGGATTGAGGGGGCAGAGCCTGGGAGTTCCCTTCTGTGAGCAGCAACTATTTAGTGAATCTATGACTGAGACTTGTTCCTTAGCCTTAAAGGCCCAGTGGTGAAGCAGTCGGCCTAGACTCAAGGTGCGGAAGCGGGGACAGGGAAGGCTTGACAGGCAGGACCATCTGGAGGAGGTGATGTGTTGGATTCTGAGGGATGAGTAGAAGTTTTGCTAGATGAATTCTGAAGTAAGGGGCAGAGGTAGGGTGGAGGGAGGCTGGGTGGTCCAGGTCTGAGTCAGGAAATAGTATGTGCAAAGGTCCAAGGGTGAACAATGATGTAGGAGATTCTGAGACTCTCCAGATGTTTGCACCACTGGACCATACCGTTTCCTGTGATAGTTGTATGGGTATAAGTTGATGATGGAAACGGGGGCCAGGTGGCACTTGGTTGTATATCTAATATGTCTTGTTAAGGAGCTTGAGTCTTATCTTGAAGTCCATGGTGGATTCATTGAAGGGTCTGAGGCAAGGAGGGGGGGTGACATGATGTGGTGTGACTTTTCAGCATGGAGATTGGATAGCTGGGGAAGGACAAGAGGCAGATGCTGAGATCGT